CGGTTGTTGGTAAGAAAAGCAGCATTTCCTGCCCATCGAATTTTGTTTTCTCATTTGGTTGTAATGATATCCTGCATGCCGCTCATCTGACAGAGAGTTTGACTGTTTATATGGACATAATGTGAATTATAAGTGATTGTCAAGAATATTTCATTTACACCCTAATATCATCACTGTCATGGATTACTTTTTGTTATTACTATCGCTCTGTGTGTATTTCGTAAAGAGTTTCTGTGAATAGGAGAAGCTCAAAATAGAGAAAAATGGAAAAGTTGCCAGCTGCGTCAATAAATGCCGCAATAAAACAATTATTGATCAGAATAGCAAGTTTATGTGTTTTTTTAATCATCACTGAATTTTACAGGAATACATCACATATAAAGCTAATTACGGTGAAGCAGTATTGAACGATCCCGGTGGACGTCGAGGTCTGTTTCATTCTTGTAGGCCCTAATACAATTTTTCAATCAACAGACAAAACAAAGGAGGAAGAAAATGGTAAAAAAAACGATGGTAGTTTTTCGTTGAAACAGAACTGTGGCAGATGGTTTCGCTTATCTCATCATCAGCATCATCATCATCATCATCATTATTCGCGCTCACAGCTTTTTGCATCCATCAATCATGCCGCGTTATCTACGAGTAGAGTTCATCGATGGATTACTGCCACAATCTCTATAACATGGAATTGGAAAATCATGTTGAAGAAACGAAAAAAAAAATTAGCAGTTTGTCAATTTTTTTATTTTTGAAAACTTTTCACATAATTACGGGAATCCAATGATCCTGGATATTATTGGTGAAGAGATTTTTGGGATTTTTTTATCATCGCATCATGAAATCATTCACTGATTATTCCGTTTTCATCATGGTACTTAGCAAGCCATTATCATGGTACCAGAGAGGAATTCAACACTGCAAATTATATTCTCTTTAGTTTTTTTTTAAAAAATCTTTTTAATTTTTAAACGGGTGTTTTAATGTGTGTGTGCGTTTTTTAATCTTTTTTTGCTTATTCCATCGTTCTTTCATTTTCCATTGTGATTGGTTGGTAAAGCCTTTTCACCAGTGATGTTAATATGTATATGTATAATCTAGGCATATATACGTATTCGCATAGTTAGTGATATGTCTTCACATTGATTTGCACTCGTTTTGCTCGAAATGAATGAATTTACCTCAATCTAAGTGACTGTAAGTTAGTATTAGCATATAGTTTAGCAATGTGTAGATTAATTAACAGAAGTGATGAATTAAATTGATATGGTACTGAGGAAAGAAATATTTAAACATTCCAGGATGGAAAGCGCGGCATAATCCCTCTTCAGGCTAAAAGTACATAATACGAAAATAAAAAAAAAAAGATATTGCAAATTATTATGACTAAAAAATTCCTCATTTTTGAAATCAGAAATAGCGGAAACAAGAAATCTTGCTATTTTTTATGAATAAATAACATATAACCGAGGATAAAAGTCTTGCGGTACTCGCTTCCTGTCCTTGACCTTGACATTTTATTTGGTTTCTAAGGCCGGATTGTAAGGAGATAATTATCAAATATCCGAGTAACTGTCAATTTATCAAG